CCCCAAAACCCCAAAACCCCAAAACCCCAAAACCCCTTTTAAGATTCATCGGCCTGAATTATATAAAGTTAAATGGATTTTGAGTTAAAACGTGGAAGTCTCAAAGAGGATCTTCAAAACTTAGGAAAATATTTTACCCAGATCAGGTGCAAGTACAGATCAGGTTTTGTCTCACAAGAGCTGCTAGAGATGTTCAAGGACCTTGCTATGACCTTTCAGGAGCATTTCGGCCAAGGAGATCCTGTAAAATCTAATGCGCTTAATAGCCTTAGCTTTTATGATAAAGTCAACAGTCTCAGAGAGGATCCCTCAAGTTTTTGGAATTATTTCAATGAAATTTTGATCCAAGATTATAATATGTCCGAACGGACATTTCCAGGAAAAATTCTGAGCCAAAAATTTAGTCTCGATAATACAAAGTGCATAAAAACCGAAGAATCTGGCTCTCAAAGGAAATTTATAGACAGGAGCATCCTTTCAGACTCCTCTTTAGAAGATTCGAAGCAATCTGCAAGTTGTTCTAGAAGGAGAGAATATTGACACATGCTCCTTGATATGAATGGATATGTCATCAAATGAAGCAAAAACGCTTCGAGAATTTTTAACTTGAAAGGCTCAACTTTGAAAGGCAAAGATAAAGATAAGACAAAGAGCTCTGGAAGTGTTCCCCTGACATCGCTTAATTTCTCAGATTTTATTGACAAGGTCTCCCTTGGATATTTTGATCAAAGGAAGTGGATAAATGCAGCTGGACAGCCTTATAAGAAAACCGATACCCTGAAGTTCTTGCTAAATACAGATTCTTCGCCGGACTCTCGTCCAAGAGGGATTATTTGTAAAATTACCCTAGGAGTACTCAACAGAGGTGTACTTACCAGAGATCATAAGTCCCCTAAGTTTGGGTACAAGATAAAAGCGAGGGTATGAGACGAGAGAAGCTCAGATGAGCTGCATAAGAGGATCGTGTCACCTCGCTTACCATATTTCTTATAAGAGATCTTATATATATTAAGTTAGGATCGCTACAACCTCTTGTATAATAAGGGGTTTTGGGGTTTTGGGGTTTTGGGGTTTTGGGGTTTTGGGG